ATTGTCGGTTGTTGTATAAAAGTTAAGTTAAATAGGTAATAGATGCAACTGAACTAAACATTTAGTAAAGACTTTTCACAACAGCAAGTTCAGTTAGTAACTTGTATAAAATTTGTATCGCCTTTTAACATTGCAGCAAGAACTCTTCCAGGTCCAGCCCTTGCCGTCTTTGATTTGTGCTTGAACCTATCAACTCTGCTTCAAACTCACCGTTTCCCCCACATGCACACAAATTTAAAAACAAAGAAGAATCTCAGGACCGGTTCAGAACTAAATGCAAGTGTGAACGCTGGTCCATGACTCCTCTTTCTCCAAACTCCACACAGCCCCCACATTTGTGATGGATCAGTTCAACAAATATCAAACAAATGCCAAAATCTGCCAAAGTTTTGCTAAAATTGTGTTATTACTAATACCAATTACAAGCTTGCGGAGTTTATGCACTAGCTGGGTTTACTTCAGTCTTTTATCCTGATTGACCCGATGACCTTGAATTTGACAAACAAAATGATGGTCTGATTAATGAAATGGCTTCTATTGCATGTGATTATACAATATTTGACCAAAACAGCTATACTTCTGTCCCTTCTCGACATAATCGTATAGTTTAAAACTGGCATGAAAGGTGGCGGTTGATTCATATCCATTTAAGGAATGCTAAGTTTTTAATTTATGTAAACAATCAGGTCTTGTAAGTCCAGAGTGAAACGTCTCTGAAGAGTTGAACGTTAACTTTTATTTCACTGTCATCACAGGCTGGTGCTGCTGCCTCACACTCACAGGACAATCCATGAGCTCAACACCTTGTTTTTTATAGATTCTGCACTGAGAGTTGTTTTTGATGTTTTGATCTGCTTTATAGATCAACTATGAAAAAGAAGAACCTTGCAATTAATTATATTTAACAAATTACACTGATGCCCCGTGGTGTTGGGGTGTAAAATAAAAAGCCTATACAACTGCTGTTATCATAAATGGTAACCACTTGGAACTCCCTGTCTGGGATTGGATACCTAACAAACACACAAACATTCAAAAATAATTTGATGCATGACTCAGGAGACATCCGTCCGTCCGTCCGTCCGTCCGTCCGTCCGTCCATCCATCCATCCATCCATCCATCCATCCATCCATCCATCCATCCATCCATCATCTTCCGCTATTTCCGAAGTTAGTAGCAGCAGCTTGAGCAGGGAGGCCCAGACATCTCTTTCCATCCACAGTCACTTCTTCCAGGTCTTCTGGGAGGATGCCAAGTCTGTCCAGCATGCCCTGGGTTTTCCTTGAGGTCTCCTCCCAGTCGGACATGCCCAAAGTACAGGAGGCGCCCAGGGAACATCCTTACCCGATGCCAGCACCTCAACTGGCTCCTCTCGACTCCACTGACTCAGGAGACATCCATCCATTACCTTTACGCGCTTCTTCCTTTTCCAGTCGTGGGTGTCACTGGTGCCCATGTCCAGCTATCACTGTGTGAGGGGCGGGGGACACCCTGGACAGGTCAGAAGTCCATCACAGGGCTACATAGAGACAAATGGGACAAACAAATATTCACTCTCTGACAGTTTCAGAAAACCTCAAGTCTTTCACTGATTATTTATTTTTTTATATAACCGTATCTCTCTAAGGTTACAAGTCATTTCCAGGCACTTTATTGAGCCTCTTGAGCATGAATTTAAGATGATTTGGAAATTAGAAGAAATAAAGCTCTAGAAAGCAGCGATCTGGGCTGAACCGATTTGGTTGAGGGCATTCGGACCGGCCAAACTTATAATTTACCCAACAGGAATAAGGCTGCATTGTGGTGGATCGTCTCCTCTGCCTTGTCATTTACTTGTCTATATGTGGCTTCGTGCTAGCGTGGATGTGTGTGTCCTCCGTCTCCTGTGACGCACTAACATCTGAGCTGCCTGGACACACTCCAGCCCTCTTTATCATGCATTCGTGTGTGTTTTCTCGTACTCTTGCCGCCTTTTAATTGTGGCTCCTCACGTTCAGAATGCTGACAACCCAATCAATCACCAATCCTTCAAAATATTCAGCCATTTCTCACAGTCCTGGCTTGGTTTTTATTTTTTTCTTTACCTTGTAGCTTTAATGGCTGGTTGGACTTTCACCTCAAAAGTCAAGCCAAAAGGAAACAATTTGAAGATGAAGCAGTTTGTAAATTTGTGGCTTGTTAAAGAACCTTTAAGACTTCTGCAGACACACCACAATCCTAATTCATTTGAAATGACATTTTCATTTTTATTTAGAAATTATATATTTTAGGGATACCATCTGCTTAAACCAGCAATTAAATGTAATGTTCGGAATTGGCAGTACGCAGAGCCCTGCGAGGGGGTGTGCGTTTGTGTGTCTGGAAAGCCCATTAAGATGTGCACAGTGAGGTGTGGGGAGATCTGACCTTGGCCTTTCAGTCACTTAACACTTTGCAGAGAAAGGGAAACTAATAACCCCTGACTCACACACCTCACACACCCTTGATGTGATTAGGTGCGTGCATTCGTGTTGTCTGGTTGTGCCCACATGTATCTTCATGCATTTCTTTCTGTCACCTTGTTTCCAGTCTTGAAAGCATGTTATGCTGCCTTCAGGCCCAGGCCTCCCTTGAAAAAGAGATCTGTGATCTCAATGGGATTTGTCTGGTTAAATAAAGGTTAATAAAATAAATAATTTTAATCCAAACTTAGTGTAATCCAGACTTTGTTTCGTCCCTTGTGATCTGCCAGACTCTTCTTAGCAACAGAAACAGATTAAAAAACATAGTGCAGATATTTTGAAGAAGTTTTCTGTGAAATTGCTTTGAACGATTCTTACCTAAGACATCTCTGAACGGCGTCTGTTTGGAAAAGATCTGAAGGTTCTGGAGAGTTCATAAAGAACAAATCTGATGTGTAAGCTTAACGAACAGGAAGAAGGATGTTAAAACCAAATCATGGAATAGTTTTATCATTACAAGTTAAAAACTATTATAACATATTCCCTTATTCTAAACTCACAAAAAGAGCTCCTTTTACTTGTTTTGTGAAGCGTGACGTATTTCTGTGCACAGTGACATCACATGCTCCATGGTACTATGTACTGTGGCTTCGCCTGGTATGAAAGTCCCCATATGGCTCGACTTAAAGCTCCTAACTGAGTGATCTCACACTGAGCAAATAGCCTGCTCGTGGTTTGGGTTTATATATATATATATATATATATACAGTGAGGAAAATAAGTATTTTAACACCCTCTAACTTTGCAAGTTCTCCCACTTAGAAATCGTGGAGGGGTCTGACATTTTCATATTAGGTGCATGTTCACTGTGAGAGACATAATCTAAATAATAAATTTAAAAAAATCCAGAAATCACAATGTATGATTTTTTAATAATTTATTTGTGTGTTACTGCTGCAAATAAGTATTTGAACACCTGCCAATCAGCAACAATTCTGGCCCTCAAAGACCTGTTAGTCCACCTTTAAAAAGTCCACCTCCACTCCCCTTATTATTCTAAATTAGAAGCACCTGTTTGAGGTTGTTAGCTGCATAAAGACACCTGTCCACCCCACACAATCAGTGAGAGCATCGAAGATGGGTCGTGGCTGTGTCTTCCAACATGACAATGACCCGAAGCACACAGCCAGGAGAACCAAGGAGTGGCTCCGTAAGAAGCACAACAAGGTTCTGGAGTGGCCTAGTCAGTCTCCAGACCTAAACCCTATAGAAAATTTTTGGAGGGAACTCAAACTCTGTGTTTCTCAGCAACAGCCCAGAAACCTGGCTGATCTAGAGAAGATCTGTGTGGAGGAATGGGACAAAGTCTCTGCTGCAGTTAACCTGGAGAAAAACTACAGGAAACCTTTGACCTCTGTAATTGCAAATAAAGGCTACTGTACCAAATATTAACACTGATTTTCACAGGTGTTCAAATACTTGTTTGCAGCAGTAACACACAAATATATTATTAAACAATCATACAGTGATTTCCGGATTTTTTTTTAGATTATGTCTCTCACAGTGGACATGCACCTAAGATGAAAATGTCAGACCCCTCCATGATTCCTAAGTGGAAGAACTTGCAAAGTCACAGGGTGTTCAAATGCTTATTTTCCTCACTGTATGTGTGTGTGTGTGTGTGTGTGTGTGTGTGTGTGTGTGTGTGTGTGTGTGTATATATAAGATTAGGAATGAGATCATCAGAGGTACAGCACAGGTTTAACAACTGGAAGATAAAAGTTAGAGAGGTCAGACTGAGATGGTTTGGACATGTGCAGAGGAGGGGCAGAGGGTATTTTGGTTCAAAGGATGTTAGAAATGCAGCTGCCAGGAAAAAAACAAAGAGGAGATACAGTATATGGATGCATTTAGAGAGGACACAGATATAGTTGGAGTGAGGATACAGTGATATGGAGGAGGACGACTCTCTGTGGCGACTCCTGAAGATGGAAAAGCCAAAAGAAGAATAAGAAGAAAATAAGAGAGATTAGATCAGAGCACATTCAGGAATATAAAGAAGAAAAAGTGATGCTTAAAAAAAAAGTTGGAGTAACACAGAAAATAACTTAAAGTAAAAGCTGATTAGTTATGAAAACATGATTGCTCTCCTTCCAGATGTTTTAAATTAAAGCTCATCGGGACATTTCTGTGTGCTAAGAGGAATAAACTCCTAAACTCCAACATCAAATATTAATTACAGCTGTGCTGTAATGTGTGTGCGTGTGCGTGCGTGCGTACACCCAATGACATGAGTAGGACTTATCTTGAGCCAAACCAAAGCAGAAACAACCAGACTTTCCTCCACCAGAACACCAATCAGTCATTTTGGTGCAATAATCAAACGTTGACTGACCTCTAGAGGCTGTTCTGTGAACTGCACAAAGTTTTTTTCACCTATTTTTTCATGATCCATCTGCTTCTGCTTGCCCTTGATCTGATCTTGATCTGAAATACTGTATGTGTTTAAACTGTTTGGATAACTTCTATCTTCAAATGCTTTTATTCTCTCTTGTCAGGGACGACAATGATGAAGATGGGTTCTGCCAGCCGTACAGAGGCATAGCCTGCGCCCGCTTCATTGGGAACCGCAGCATCTTCGTTGCCTCACTGCAGATGCAGGGGGAGATTGAAACCCAGATCACAGGTAAAATGACAAAAAATACACTTGTACTATAGTTTAAGCTTACATAACTAAAGAGGTCTTTGACTTGCTCCATTTGTTGATAAAATACAAATGTTCATTTTATGTTATACTGATTGAACATCCAAAAGAAATATGATTTGCAGCATATTCTAAATAAATGGAAGAAAACACATGCAAATTATGCTTTTTTTAAAAATCCTAATCACTGGAAAAGTTGGCAGACCATCAGAGTTCAGCTGGGTCTCCTGTGTGTGTGGAATTGCACATGTAGTGTTAGTATTAATGTATGCATCTTTGTTTTACTTTTTGTGTGTCCATCCCCTCAGAGGTGAGTTTTGTTAATTGCATCCCTGCAGCTGTTGGCTCAACCCCTGAACAAATAATCATTTGAAATTTGAACCCAGTCTTCCAATTGGAACATCAAAGAAAAGTGATTTTATTTATTTTTTTAATTCACTGAACCATAAAGAACTTCCAGTTAAACCAAAGGCATCAACATTCAGTAGTTTAGTTTAAAATCATTTTCTTGATCTTTGTGATTGTTTCATTTAAGCAGTGTGCTGCAGGAATATTTGGACTGCAGCCAATTTCCGTTATTCCATTTTTCTTTGCTTATCTACAACTCACCTCCCTTAAATAGTATTTCAATGCTAAACTCTGCATTTTTACCACTTGAATGCTTTTTCCTTTCTCGTTCCCAGCGGCCTTCACCATGATCGGGACATCCAATCATTTGTCCGATCGTTGCTCGCAGTTTGCCATCCCGTCTCTGTGTCACTTCGCCTTCCCGACATGTGACCACAGCTCGGGGATTGACAAGGCCCGGGACCTTTGTCGGGACGAATGCGAGATCCTGGAGAACGATTTGTGTAAGACTGAATACATCATCGCCCGCTCCAACCCGCTCATTCTGAAGAGAATGAAACTGCCGAACTGTGAGGAGCTGGCTGCCTCCGACAGCCCCGGAGCTGCCAACTGTTTGAGGATTGGGATCCCCATGGCCGAGCCTATTAACAAGAGTAAGACCTGTATTTACTGCTGTGATGATCCTACTGAAGAGAGCTGTTTTAAAACTGAAAGTACACCCCCTCACCTTTTTTGTTCCCCAGATCACAAGTGTTACAACAACAGTGGGGCAGATTACAGAGGGACAGTCAGCGTGACCAGGTCGGGTCATCAGTGTCAGCCGTGGAACTCCCAGTATCCTCACAGCCACACCTACCTGGCTGTCCGCTACACCGAGCTGAACGGGGGCCACTCATACTGCCGCAACCCGGGGAACACACACGAGGCCCCCTGGTGCTTTACTCTGGATGAAGGGGTCCGCATGGAGCTCTGCGACATTCCTCTCTGTGGTGAGACTATGCCCAATTGTAAAGTAAATTTACACGCTTACAGTATATTTTGGTTATTCGGTAGGTTCAGTTAGACAAAAAATTGTGAATGTTCTTCTACATTCCGTCTATGAATAATTTCAAACGTGGTGGTTTGGTTCTTCTGTCTGCGTAGACCATAAGGACAAGTCGAGTGGTAGCATGGAGATTCTGTACATCCTGGTTCCGAGTGTGGCCATCCCCTTAGCCATTGCTTTGCTCTTCTTCTTCATCTGTGTGTGCCGCAACAACCAGAAGTCCTCCAGGCCTCCTGCTCCACGTCAGCCGAAACCGGTTCGAGGACAAAATGTTGAGATGTCCATGCTCACAACTGCTTACAAACCAAAGGTACAAAAAGCGAACAGTCGCAACACAAAGCACTGGGGCTAAATTATGTTTCTGTTCTATCATTCTTTTATTCAGGGTGACTAAATTGTAAGCAACACCTGAAATTATACTTCAACATTAAGCTATAATGGTTTAAAGAGGTCCAGTTGTAGGTTTCATTGTGTGAATGTTAAATCAGCATTCACACACTTGGAAGGATTTAAGATTTCTTCATATTATTAGAAATCTTAAGCATATTTGCATCATTTTAACTTTTAGCTACTGCTAGTTTTACTTTTTTGCTATTTTTCTAATTTTAGCTTTTAGCTATTATGATAGTTATAACTTTTAGTTCCCGTTATAGCTTTCACCTACTCTTTTGCTAATTTTAGCTTTTAGTTATTGTTCTGCTGGCTTTACTTCTTAGCTACTATTCTGGTCATTTTAGCTTTCAGTTACTGTTTTGCTAATATTAGCAGTCGTTTAGCTAATTTTAGCTTTTAGCTATTGTTATACTAGTTGGAACTTTTGGCTCCTGTTTTAGCTTTTACCTACTCTTGTGCTAATTTTTGCTTTTTGTTCTGCTAGCTTTAGTTTTTAGCTACTGTTCTGATTGTTTTAACTTTCAGTAACTGTTTTGCCAATATTAGCAACCGTTTATCTAATTTTAGCTTTTAGCTATTGTTATGCTAATTTTAGCTTTTAGCTACTGTTGCTCATTTAAGTTTTCAGATATTGTTTTTGCCGTTTTTAGTTTTTATCTGCTTTTTGTTTATATTAGCTTTTCCGTTCACTTCTACTCATTTAAGCTTATCACTTTTGTTTAGCAAATTTTAACTTTTAGCTTTTGCTTTTCTAATTTTAGCTTTTGTTCTGATTTTTGTAACTTAGTCAGTGCTCAACATTCACACGGCATTTTTGCTCAATCCATTTTTTTCCTGGTTTCTTTTTTTCTGGGCTGCTTTTCAAACCCACAAAAAACATAATCGGTCTAATCTTCGCAGAGACTCAGTCTGGAAAAACAGTGAAAATCCTCTTCTGAAATATCGTTTGTTTGTATGAAAGGACCGGCTGTAGTTTTAGACAGGCTGATCTAATCGACTAATTTAACTCGTGCAGTGTTTTGGACCCTCCCAGAGTGACTCCATCAGTCTTTAAGAGCAGACTGCAGGAGTCAAAACAGCAGCCGAGGCCTGCATGTTGAGTGGGATGCCTCATGGCGTGCGGGGGTTACGAGGTTCAGTGTGTGGAAGTGACCTGTCTGAGGCAACGCTTCAGATCTCTATCATCAGATGTCAGCAGGTCCAGGAATGTTCAGCTGTGCCTCTTTTGCTCTGTTTATTTTTCTCCCATTGTCTGTTTATCCAGAGCTCTCCATCCCACTTCTGCTTTCACTTATTCCATCTTTTCTTCTTGCTCTCCCGTCGTCCCAGGACATCTTTTCCTCTCTTCTGATCCCCTCCATTTTTCAAAAACCATCTTTGTAATGCAGATCATCTGACTTGTGCGCTCCGAGCCAGCGCACACTTCCCATTAGGATCTGTTTTATGTTTCTTTGAAGGTTGCACACCCAGTCTTACCACGTGTGCTTATCTTTGTTCACATTCTTTTTAATAGTTGAGGTTCAGTGATGATCAGTGTGTCTATCTTGGTAAAACAGAGGCCATGTTTAAAAACACTTGATGTACAATCAACAGTTGCAACAAGAGTCACAAAATGTCAGAGAAGCATCAGAGCTCATTCATTCTGCAGGATTTTCATTTAAAAACAAATGTTTCTCTGAACATAAAGGGGTTCTGTACTTTGAATATTTAGATGTGATGATGCATCTGCAGGGTCCAGTTCATACAGTTTATTCTGATTTGACATTACACCTGAAGGATCTGAAGAGGGTTCCATATTTTTCTGACCACATAAGCATCCAATCTAAGACCAGATAATAGTTTGCAGTGAGGTAATTCTCAAAAAAAAAATCTATATCTAGTGAAATTAGAGAAACTGCATTTTCTGAAACCACGCATTGTGTGAACGCTGAGGGCTGAATTACTGCTGACATTTGCAGAAGTTGAAATGGAGTCGTTAAAGCTGAAAGAAGCAGCACACTAGCTTAAAATTTAAATAAAAAAAAATCACTGTAATGCCACTTTAACTGGTGATATGTGACTTATCTGTGCTGCTGATTATCCATGCTGCTGATCTCTTGTCTTTATGCTGCTGTATTCATACCTATCTACTCACTACAGACTCATGTTCGGCCTGCTGTTTAATATACCGTATTAGTTTACATTATTAGTGTTTAGTGTATATCTTAGATCGTTTAGCGTTCGTTTAGCGTAGTGTATATCTTAAATCCTTGTATACTTTTTCTTTTTATACTTTACATTTTTGCATTTTTGGATGAAACTGGGACCTTGGGTACACAATTCCATCCCACCTCATGTACCACATGTGATGAACATGACAATAAAGAACCTTGAACCTTAAAGCTAAAACCAGCAGAACACTAGCTAAAGCTAAACATTAGCTAAAAGCCTAAATTTTTTAAAAGCTAAACGTGTTGAATGTCTAGCTAAAAGCTAAATGTAGCAAAAGACTACTGGTAGTTAAAAGCTAAAAGTAAAACAAATCTAGCTAAACATATTATGTGCCCAGCACTTTGGTCCTGTGGGTGTTTAAAGTGCTCTATAAACAAAGCTGGTATGGTCTGGTATGGTATGGTATGGTATTGTATGGTATGGTATGGTATGGTATGGTATGGTATGGTATGGTATGGTATGGTATGGTAAAGCAGTTTCTAGAAGCTAAAAATGTCAAAAGGCGAGCTAAAAGTTAAAAATCCCTAGCTAATAGCAGGCAACGGTTAGCTACAGTATAAACTAGAAATGCTTAAAGGCTAGCTAGATGTAGCAAAAGGGTAGCTAAACAATAAAAATAACAATATGGTTTATAAGAGCCAAAAGCAGCAAAAAGCTAGTTAAATGCTAAAAATTATTATTTAGCTGTACGTATTTTTGATATTGCAAAATCAAATGTCTCTTTGTTTCTCACACCATTGACATATCTCAGTGAGGTGTAAGAATTACTCTGCTACCCAGAAGGCTTTTCTTCAGGGTCATGGAGGGGCCAGGTCCTGGAGAAAATTCTTTAGATACACGTTTACACGCATGCACGCACACAAACACACACATTCTAACACACTCACAAACTTGTGGTGGTGTGAACTGGATCTGAGGTTTTGGGTGTGGGGAGGTAAGAAGCAGTGAAACAAACCCATTACAAAAAACATCTGTGTTACGTTTAATATTTAGCACAGACTCACACACACACACACACACACTTTCAGTGCTCATGGTGTGTGTGAGCATTTGTGCGAGTGTGTATGTGTGTGTCTCTCACAGAGGAATTTCATTATTCATCTCAGATTTCCTGGAATCTACAGATCTCTGCCAGCCTCTGCTTACTTTTATCTTCTCTCAAATAAAGCATGTATCGCCCCCAGTGGAGCTCCCTCAGTTCAAACCTTAGATATACTCTCTTTATAAATGTCTCCTGATTTGTGTTGATAATTACAAACAATAAACTTCAACTACCATACCATTTTATTTATAGAGCACTTGAAACAGCGACAAGGCCAACCAAAGTGCTGTACAGACAGAACAACAGGCAACACACAAAGCAATATACAAAATGAAGTAAATCAGAAATATAGACATTAAAAAGATGTAGATAATTACGACTAACCAGTGTGGAGCATACAGGTTCAAAACACAGATCATCTGGAGTTGAATGCTACTGAATAGTAGTGGGTTTTTAAACGGGACTTGAAAACCGAGAGGGAGGGGGGCTGTCTGACAAGCAGAGGTAACTCGTTCCAAAGTCTTGGTCCTGTTACAGAGAAGGCCCAGTCACCTCTGCGCTTAAGACGAGTTCCTGGAACTGTGAGGAGCAACTGGTCTGCTGACCTCAGGGGGCGTGTTGGGACATACGGCTGTAGCAGATCAGAGAGATGGGGCGGGGGGGGGGGGGGTGACACTGTTCAGCGATTTGTATACATACAGTAGTATTTTGAACTGGATTCGAAGGTGAACCGGTAACCAGTGCAGTGAGGCCAACTGAGCTTTGAGCTTCATTACAACCTTCCATACCCTCTCGTTGAGCTCAGCCTGGTGTGGTAAATTGTGTCAGTAAAAAATAGAGAACAAGCCTCTTCTGTGGGCATCAAACACTCTGAAAAATAGTTTAGGCAACATTTTATAAATAGCCTCCATCAGTACCATTTTAACATTTAATCACAATAACCCTGCTGGACACAAGCACCGGTCCAGACTGTTTGAAAGAATAATAATGATCATAGGTGGTGTTTATTAGGACTATAGCTGCTGTCGTAGACAACAAGGTGGGTAAAATCAGTTACATGAATTATTTGTAGTCATCTTTTTTGGCTTTTTCTAGAAAAATATAAATAACTTGGTGAATTGTTGGAGAATGCAGAGACTAATTAAATACCAAAAAGCTTCTGCTTGATTGTTTCCAATAGTCTTAACGTTCAGTGAGTCCAGACTAGAAAAGTTAAGGAGTTTTAGTGGTGTGGATAAAAAATATTAACATAGAGGACAATGCATAAAAAAATTGTGGTGCCTATAGTCATCTTGCACAGTGAGTCACAATGTTTTCCCTGATTTACAAATTTGGGGATTGATTGTTTTTAAATGATCAAACTGGGATTTAAGCCAACTAAAAAATTAGAGCTGTGGCTTTGTTGCCAGATTTTCCATTTCCTCTGTATCTGTTAAAAACTAATACAGTAAGGTATTTTTAGGATTTGACATATTGGGTTCAGTCTGATTGTATCGAGTATCAAGGCTCTGCCTATTGTAGCACACAATACAAGTTAAAGAAATAATACCCATTGTGTCAAAACACCAAAGTTCATGCTCAATAATCCAGGTAATAATCCAACAATGTTCAGTCAGGTCATCTGGACGGTTTCTTTTTTGGCTGAGACGTTTCGTCCTTCATCCGAAGGACTTCTTCAATCTGAGGAGCCACCAACAAACTGAGTCCCACCACAAATAGCACACTCCCATAGTGGGGGGAAAAAAAATAGTTTACTGATGGTAAAATGGCCTCCAGGACCCACCCTCTCCCTGGTCAACTCCTCTGAGGCAACCTTACTAAAGTGGTTCAAAACACCAAAGTTCATGCTCAATAATCCAGGTAATAATCCAACAATATTCAGTCAGGTCATCTGGATGTTTCTTTTTTGGCTGAGATGTTTCGCCCTTCATCCAAAGGACTTCTTCAATCTCAGGAGCCACCAACAAACTGAGTCCCACCACAAACCGCACACTCCCATAGGAGTGCGGTCCCGTCTTTCCACTATGGGAGTGTGCTGTTTGTGGTGGGACTCAGTTTGTTGGTGGCTCCCGAGATTGAAGAAGTCCTTCAGATGAAGGACGAAACATCTCAGCCAAAAGATAAACCGTCCAGATGACCTGTGGATTATTGAGCATGAACTTTGGTAAAAATCCAGTGTGCCTAAAATAAATGTAAATTTAACTGCAAAGATATTGTTGAATAAATAATCCCCCCAAAAATGCCACATCGATTCCATCTTATACTTCACATCTGTTTTTTCCATCTCTCGGCAGAGTAAAGCTAAGGAGCTTCCCCTGTCAGCGGTGCGTTTCATGGAGGAGCTTGGGGAATGCATGCTGGGGAAGATCTACAAGGGTCACCTGTACCTGCCAGGCATGGAGCAGGCTCAGCTTGTGGCCATTAAGACGCTGAAAGACATTTCCAGCGTCCAGCAGTGGGGCGACTTCCAGCAGGTACAGAGATTTTTCCGCTCCTCTGTGCTTGTCTTCATTGTTAACTAGAGGACTTTGTTTTTACAGTTCTGATACAGTTTAATTTCAAAACCCACACTTCTGAAAAACTTTTTTAATGAATTGTTACTCAACAATGAGTGAATGGAAAATGCTCTTTTATCCACAATATTCGAGGCCTGCCTTTATTATATTTCCACTGCAGGATGACTGGAGAAACACTGAACTATAGCTGAGCTCATTGAAAATAGATCCAAAAATAAAGAATAACATACAACTGGGTGAAAGGCCAGGTCTGAAAGTGACACCACACCATCAAAATTTAGTGCGTTGTGGAGGAAATGCAGCAATCTAAAGTTAAAACTGGGTCTGAGCGAAACATTTCAGTCAAATAAAGCTTCGACTTCTATTAATTATCTTGTTTTTTTGTGTGTAAAGGAGGCCTCGGTGCTGACTGAGCTGCAGCACCATAACGTGGTGTGTCTGCTGGGTGTGGTTACCCAGGACCAGCCCGTCTGCATGCTGTTTGAGTTTCTGCCACAAGGTGATCTCCACGAGTTCCTCATCATGCGCTCGCCCCACTCAGACGTTGGCTGCAGCAGTGATGAGGACGGAACTGTGAAATCCAGCTTGGATCACGGGGATTTTCTGCAAATAGCCATCCAGGTAAGGATCTGAAACCCTCAGGTTTTCATTTAACAGCAAATCTTGTATTTTTTTCTCACAAGATCTTGTTCCACCCACAGACATTTAGGACAAAGGTTGATTAAAAACAGCCCAAACATTTGGTAGTTATTGGTCAATGTTGGATATTTTTCAGCAGTTATATTTTTTCTAAGTGTAACTGTTTTGCTGCCGTTATTGTCCACAAATAATAAAAATCATTACATTTAAAATAAAAATAAAAAACAGTTTTGAATACTTATTTATTTTATTTTCCTCAGGTGGCTGCAGGGATGGAGTATTTGGCCAGTCACTTCTACATCCACAAAGACCTCGCAGCTCGAAACATTTTAGTAGGTGAACAGCTGCACGTCAAGATTTCTGACCTGGGTCTCTCCAGAGAGATCTACTCCTCTGACTACTACTGCCTCCAACCTAAAACTCTGCTGCCCATCCGCTGGATGCCCCCTGAAGCCATCGCCTATGGCAAGTTCACCACAGACTCGGACATCTGGTCGTTTGGAGTGGTATTGTGGGAGGTGTTCAGCTACGGGCTGCAGCCCTACTACGGTTTCTCCAACCAGGAAGTGATGGAAATGGTGAGAAAGAGGCAGCTGCTGCCCTGCCCCGAGGACTGCCCGCCGAGGTAAGATGACTTGGTTTAGTGTGAAAGTGGAATTTGTAGAAACTAACAATCTGTGTCTTCAGCTTAGAACGTATTTATTTAACAAGGTTTAACGTTTAACTTTGTTTTAAAGTTCTCATCATGCTCTACCATTTTTAATGTTCGCATCAGGTACATGTTTTATTAATTTTGCACCAATTTGCATACATGTTTAAAATTATGTGTCATAAAATACCGGTAATCAAAAAACATGTATTTTGTACATTTTGTAAAAAAAAAAATATATACAGTATATATATATATAAATGTTTGTTTTGGGTGGTATTTTTGCCTCTTAAGGTTTCTTATTAAAAACATCAGTTACTGATGACAATTTTAAGAAATTGATGTCTTGCAGTCTCAGTCAGGTCATCTGGATGGTTTCTTTTTTTTGTTGAGACGTTTCGTCCTTCATCTAAAGGACTTCATCAGTCCGAGGAGCCTTAACAAACCCTGTTCCACAAGTAGCACACTCACATAGTGGGCCAACCTGTTTGCTGGTGATATGATGGTTTCTGGAGCCTGCCCTCTCCCCCCGTCGACACCTCTGAGGCAGCCAAAGTGGATGAAGTCCTGATGAAGTCCTTTGGATGAAAGACGAAATGTCTCAACAAAAAAAGAAACCGTCCAGATGACCTGACTGACTTTTGTTGGATTTTTTTTTTTACCTGCATTACTGAGCCTGGACTTTGATGTTGTCTTGCAGGTTTTATGGTTTGATGACAGAATGCTGGCAGGAGGGCCCCGCACGTCGGCCTCGTTTTAAAGACATCCACACTCGTCTGCGGGCCTGGGAGGGGCTGTCTTCACACGCCAGCTCCAGCACACCCTCTGGTGGAGGAGGCAACGCCACCACTCAGACAACCTCACTCAGTGCGAGCCCTGTTAGCAACCTCAGCAACCCTCGCTATGCAGCTGCTCCCGCTGGATACCTCTACCCAGCCCAGGCCATCCCAGCGCCAGGGCAGATGGCTCCCATTCCAGCCTGGACACCCATGGCTGTGCCCCAAACCCATCAACGCTTCATCCCTGTCAATGGATACCCTATACCACCAGGATACGCAGCCTTCCCAGCTCACTTTGCTCCTCCAGCTCCACCTACCAGAGTAATCCAGCATCACCTGCCACCTCCCAAAAGCCGTTCACCCAGTAGTGCCAGCGGCTCCACCAGTACAGGTCACGTCAGTGGCGTGCCTTCCACCACAGGCTCCAACCACGAGGCCAACATGCCACTGCTTTCCCATTGTGTCATGCCAGGGAGCGGCGGAGGGCAGGCTCAGATTTATGGACAAGTTTCCCAAAAAGGGGTGACGCAGTTCGACCATGTATCACAAACGTCAGCGCTGCTCACCGCTGACTCTGATGTGCTGATGTACAATGACTCCATCATCACAGCAAACCTGTAGATAAGTAGAGGAGGGCGCACTCTCCTCATGTTTTGGACACTTAAGACGTTTAGCCTCCCAGCCAGAGAACCAGAATCACAATCCACTTTGGTCATGATGAGACCCAGCAGATGCAGGCTTGTTCACTCTTCTGGGTGTGCAAAAGAAGACATTGCTGCAGCTACGCAAGTATTATAAACAGCCCTTCTGTTTAAAGCAAGTGTACTTACAAGACTGGGTTGAGAATGGTACTATGGTAACCTCTGTAAATAAAGTACATAAGTGTTGAGTGAATGAATGAAATGCATATTAATGTATATTCAAAAGACCTTTTTATTAAAACATTGTAAAGGAAATGGAAAAAAAGTAGCAAGTCCACCCTTAATGTTTTTATGTGGATTTTAATACAAATTGGCAATAGCAAACTGTTTAATACAGAATTCAGGTTCATGTTACCTTTGGGTGTCTTTCATCAGTGCTAGGGCTTGCTCCTATGCAGATGTACTGACCCGAGAAAGAAAGGGCTTCTTGCAGGAATAAGACCAAAAGGTGACTTCAGTTAAAAAGCTCAGCTTTGTCCTTTTTCAATCAACACAAGTGGACTTTGACCTCTGGGCAGTGGAAACACACTAACACGGCTGATTCTGGTTCTGCCCGACAGCTTGCATTTATTTGACTCTTCTGTACAGAAGCAGGAATTCAGACATTTTATTAATGGCATCCAAGTGATTTTATTTGCCACATACTGACATTTTTAACACAGAATCCCTTACAAAATGACAGCTGAATGTTTTTCTTGTTGTTTTTTTATCCAACGTCGACAATGAAACTTCTTCAATATGAATGAATGCATTTTTTTCTACACTCAAACTGTCCTCAAAGTATTTAGTGTTAGCTTCACAAATTCACATTGAAATCCACATCCACATAGCCAACTGGCATATATTATCCTCAGCAAAAATGAACTACATTCAGGGCAAACAATAACAGTTTATAATATTTAGGTTTAAAGTGAAGTTGTGTGAGCTAATTTGGAGTGGGTTACTAGTAGACAGATTGACTTTTAGTTTTAGAGAAATGTTCTTATGGGTGAGTTAAGCAAACGGCCAAGCAAAATGAATTTCCATTACAGGTGTTGGTCATAAAATTAGAATATCATGAAAAAGTTGATTTATTTCAGTAATCCCATTCAAAAAGTGATTTTTGTATATTATATGCATTCATTACACAGAGACTGACACATTTCAAATGTTTATTTCTTTTAATGGTGGTGATTATAACTGACGACTAATGAAAACCCCAAATTCAGTATCTCAGAAAATTAGAATATTGTGAAAAGGTTCAATATTGAAGACACATGGTGCCGCACTCTAATCAGCTAATTAACTCAAAACACTTGCAAAGATCTTTAAATGGTCTCTCAGTCTAGTTCTGTTGGCTACACAATCATGGGGGAGACTGCTGACTTGACAGTTGTCCAAAAGACGACCATTGACACCTTGCACAAGGAGGTCCAGACACAAAAGGTCATTGCTAAAGAGGCTGGCTGTTCACAGAGTTCTGTGTCCAAGCACATTGTTAGAGGGTCAGGAAGAAAAAGATAGATGGGTGAAAAGTGTACAAGCAATAGGGATAACCGCACCCTGGAGAGGATGGTGAAACAAAACCCATTCCAAAATGTGGGGGAGATTCACAAAGAGTGGACTGCAGCTGGAGTCAGTGCTTCAAAAACAACCACACATAGACGTATGCAAGACATGAGTTTCAGCTGTCGCATTCCTTGTGTCAAGCCACTCTTGAACAAGAGACAGTGCCAGAAGTGTCTTTCCTGGGCTAAAAACAAAAAGGACTGGACTGCTGCTGAGTGGTCCAAAAGTAAATCTTGCATTTCCTTTGGGAAACAAGGTCCCAGACTCTGTAGGAAGAGAGGAGAGGCACAGAATCCACGTTGCTTGAGGTCAGGGTTAAAGTTTCCACAGTCAGTGATGGTTTGGGGGGCCATGTCATCTGCGGGTGTTGGTCCACTGTGTTTTCTGAGGTCCAAGGTCAACACAGCCAGGAAGTTTTAGAACACTTCCTGCTTCCTGCTGCTGACCAATTTTATGGAGATGCAGATTTAATTTTCCAACAGGACTTGGCACCTGCACACAGTGCCAAAGCTACTAGTATCTGGTTTAAGGACCATGGTATCCCTGTTCTTAATTGGCCAGCAAACTCGCCTGACCTTAACCTCATAGAAAATCTATGGGTTATTGTGAAGATGAAAATGTGATACACCAGACCCAACAATTCAGAAGAGCTGAAGGTCACTATCAGAGCAACCTGGGATCTCATAACACCTGAGCAGTGCCACAGACTGATCGACTCCATGCCACGCCGCATTAATGCAGTAACCCAGGCATAAAAGAGCCCCAGCTACTGTAAGTATTGAGTGCTGTACATGCTCATACTTTTCATGTTCATACTTTTCAGTTGGAAAACTTTGCTAAAAATCCTTTTTTTATTATTGGTCTTAAGTAATGTTCAGAAAATGTAATTTTCTGAGATACTGAATTTGGGGTTTTCATTAGTTGTCAATTATAATCATCAACATTAAAAGAAATAAGCATTTGAAATATATCAGTCTGTGTATAATAAATGAATATTATTTACATCTTTCATTTTTTGAATGGAATTACTGAAATAAATCATCTCTTTTCATAATATTCTAGTTTTATGATCAGCACCTGTATATTACATGACTAGAAGTCAAAACTTCCCTTACAGCTTGGGCAAAGATTATATTAAATATTCATAAGTGCGTCATCAATGGAGCAAGAAGGCCTTCCTCAATTTTTTAAATTCAGGGTGCAAACTTGTGTTTTTGCTGCCCCATGACTTAAAAACAACACATTTTTATTTGTAGCAATAAAAAAAATATTAAAGTAACATTCTACTCTCCCATAACTCAACTTTGAGTTGTTTCACTCCAGTTTAACAGAACACTGGTATCCACTAGCTCACAAGTCAGACAGCTTTCAGCTGTGGAGACGTAAAAAATATATACTAAAGTTGTTTTTTTAAGTGTTAAAACTGTGCTGCCTCTTTTTCTGACTACAAATCAGACAGAATAGAGTAAAAACTATAGCCTATAGGCAGGGCCGGATTTAGGAGGATGGGGGCCCCTGGGCTGGAGTCAGGATGGGGGCCCATGGGCTGGAGTCAATACTGTATATGGGGGCCCTATATATATATATATATATATATATATATATATATATATATATACATATAGACCAAGGTTTTTACAGAGAACATCTTGAAAAATATGAAGAACAAAATACAGATTTCCATTTATTAATGACACTTCTGCATTCATCTTATTTGGAGGAACTAGAACCACAAACACTGTTGTCTGCCATTGTAAAATAATATTCCCTGACACACCTCCCCAATGCGTAAGATGCGTCAAAAGTGGACCAATAACAAGCAAGCATTCAAGATGGACGTTTTCCAGAACAAATTGGAACATTTTTCATCGGTGCCGTCAAAATCATCATAGTCATTGATTAAATTCTGACACTATCCATTCACAAAAACATAAAACATCCTTCGGGGCCCCTGAAATGCCGGGGCCCCGGGCTGCAGCCCCTGTAAGCCCCTGCTAAAATCCGGCCCAGCCTATAGGTAGAGCTCATAGAAGTATGCCAAACCCCATGTGTGCATTTTAAGGCTCAACAGATATCTAAGCAAAAAAAAAATTGGACTAAATATGAACTAAATGCAAAAGTTTTTAAAAAGTCTGCATTGGTTTCCTATAAGCATTTAGCCATGTTTGTTTAAAAACAGAAAGGAAACTCTTGTTTTCTTCCACATGAACATATTCTGTGAAACATTACACCTGCCATTATCTGCTTTGCTTCCCCATTTTATAACTTAACCAGACACCCAGCACTGTTTCACTTTGTCACATGCATGAGATGGTTGTTTGCTTCATATTCTCTCAGTCAAACAATCATGTGGCTGGCAGCTCAAACATCATCCATTCAGCTGCTAACTATATTCAATGTTTGATCATCAGTGATTCAGTTTGGCTGGTTTAACCCTAAAACGACAAAAGGCAGTAAAGCAGTTTAGTTTATGAACAATTACCTGTAGGTATTAAAGCCCTGTACTTTACACCACATTTACTTGGATTTGCTATAAAATTATGAGTCAAATTTCTTTCAAATGGGAGGAATTGGTTCTTGAATAGATTTTGATCCAGTTAGTTGGTAGTTTGACTCCTTTATGACGACCTCTCTCTAATTCTCCAAATGTGTTTTTCAGACTATAAGGCACATGTAAAATCCTTTAATTTTCTCAAAAATCAACAATGAGCTTTATGTATTAATTCTGGTTGTGCTTACTGACCTCGAACCGATTTTATGTGGTACACGGTGCTCAAAAATCTGTCAAAATGTTTTAGTTTCACTTAATGCGCCTTATAGTCCGAAAAATACGGTAACATTACTGTCACTTGTCTATTGTACGAAAGATACTAAATACTCAACCTTACTTAAACATAATTTATCCCTTTAAACATTAGCTTTCACACAAAAAATATATTTTAGGAAGGTACTGTATTGATTAAAAAAGTGAAACATTTAGTTTAGCAACTTTGTGTTTTGGGTTGGTTCTTTTTTATGTTTGTTTTAAGGAGAAAATGTGGTTGGAAGTATAAGAAATGTTATTAATAGGTAAAATATACTCATGCCAGCTAAGGTACAGTACTTTATAAGATCTCGGTCATGTATAAAGGTAAAAAAAATAAATTCTGTTGGATGTCCTCAAATCTGTGCCCACTTTGAGCCTGAAAATAAGAATGTGTGAGGATTCGTTCATGGATTGTAATATGTGCAGAACTTCATGCTAGTTGCCTGGTTCTGCAAATGCTTGTATAACTTTTGGTACCAAGTGAATCAACCTGTAAGTTAATCAAGCAAGCAGTCCAACAAGAACTGCGGGAAAAATGGGAAGACAACAAAATCTGCCAGCTTTGTCGAAGTGTTCTTAATAATATCTATCAGATGTATTTATTTGTCATTGTGTTCAGGCAGCAATCCATTTAGTCTGAGTCGGATTGTTTTCTAAAATGAAGAAAA